ATATTATTTTATAATAAACTCTAAATTTAAAAATAAAACACGCTACGATAAAAATCTAATCACGATACTATAAAAATTTATCACATTCATCATGACTTGGCGTACAACGATCCTCCTATGACCCAACATTCAAGCAATTACAAGACATTGTGCACAATCCACAAGGATCACAACTCCACCATAAACATCATTTATTCAATTAATAGCTCTTTATTATAAGTCACATGTCATATAAAAATTCGTCTAACATGTGACTACAAATATTTCATGCTATAACTAACGGGTTGGTTCAAATGATAGATAGCATGGTATCGCTTAAGTACGATCTTAAGTTCGAGTTTTTATGTATGTAGAAAATCTATGTTAGAAGATTCACCCACCAAAGTTATGTATGCGATCCAGATCAGTCCAAATTAGTCATGATGAAACCTTGAAACCGAAAGACAATAAAAAAAATATTAAAATGCTTATTATATTTCAAAATTTTAAAATTGATGTTCATGTGAATAATATTAATATGTGATGAATAATATAATATAAAGTTTAAATAAATCAGTGATTTCAACTTTATAAAAGAAAATAAATAAAATCAATCAAAATGATGTGGATTATCGTTCTTTATTATACAATCATAGAAGAAAAACACTGTTATTCTAAATTATTTTTAATATTTTATAAAATGGTGTAACGATACCACTTGACAAACCTTCACATCACATCAACTTAAAATTATTGGTTAATTAACCTATTAGCAATTTGCTTATGTGACTCACATGTACATGAAGTTCAAACAAAATCTCTCTCTTAATATGAACCACACCTTTAATTTATTTATTTTTGGATATCCCAAAACCAAGTTGGCTCCCTAAAATTTTGTAAATTTATATTATCCCCTATTATAAAATTATGCATCAGTCTCGGGATACAAGAGCACCATTCCACTAAAATTTAGTAATTGTTGTAAACGAATCGAGTTGAGCTCGAGTATTACTGAGCTCGACTTAAAATCTCTGAAATAGAGGTTGACTCGACTCAAAAACTCAAGGGCCTAAAATTTTCAAGCTCAACTCGAGCTCGAAATCATGAACTAAAGCTCGAAAAGGCTCAAAATGAAGAAAAAAAATGAAATCTTAAACTTAACTCGATTGAAGCCTTAAACTCAAACTCGAACCTGAATCTTAAATACATGAAAAGGTTATATTTTATTTTTTAAAAAACCAACGCATAAATGTTAATATTATTAATATTTTTTTCAAAAATAAAATATTAATATATTATATTTTGGAGTTGTTCGCGATCTTTTTTAGTCGTGTATCAAGTAACCCGTTTCGACTCATTAAAACCCGAGTCGAGCTCGAGCTCGAGCTCGAGTTAAGTATTTATCAAGTTTTGATGAAGTAGATCTCGAATAGCTCGCGATCTGTCTCGTTTCATTTACGGCCACGGATGATATTGGAGGCTAATATTTGTATAATTATACTAGACAATTACGTTAGTTTACTTGTTTGTTTGATCTATATTATTAATAAAAATTTAATTGGTGTCATATTTTAATTAGACCTAATTGAGTTGAAAAATTAATAATTAACATTGTTATAAAAAAAATCTTTATCTTTTCATATGATCATATATTTTCATGTAATCATTTATTTATTTGTTTGGGTACATATGTAATATTTAAATAGAATAACAATAAATCACTTATTAAATATTCAAGCGCATGAAATAACCAGTGAGGTTGGTTCAAGTGGTAATGTTACACCCTAAAATTTTGGGTAAAAATATTAGAAATTCATTAAATTACATGAGTTAAATTGAATTTTTTATTAATGATTTTAGGTTAAAATGTAAATCAAAGATGTTTTAAGGACTAACCTTATAATTTTTCCATAACCAAAAATATCATTTAACACAAAAATAAAATAAAATAAAATGGTACCTCGAAGGCATGAACCCATGACCTTAGAGTTATGGCTACCCATGACCTTAGAGTTATGGCTTCCCGTGCCCTAGACACTAGGCTAGCCTTTTGTTAGTGTTTATAATTAATAAAAATATGTTTTATAATAATTTGGTTTTGGTTATAACTCAAAAACAAAATCAGACACCCCTTTCACGAAACCCAAAATCTAACATCTCGATCCTCAAGTTTTCCCCTATCGATCTACCCCGCTCGAGTCTCCATTATTGTGCCTTGTTGCCATCATCAGAACCAATGTCCTCCAACCACTCAACCACGATCCTCAACTTACCCAATTGGTCATCGATCATTGCAAAATGAGGGAAAAACTCATTCGTCACCCCTCATCATCGCTCCCTGCTATGGTCAGCGATATAGGTCACTGTCACCTCCAATCGAAGCGACATGCCACCGCGAAGCAACCCCGACCAACCACCAACGCTAAATGCCCGTAGTTCTTCGTGGATGAACGTTTAAAGTTTTGTCAAAACCCCCCTCGTCGCCTCAGTTAATCGCGATTTTCGGCACCCATCGTCGTCCGTTTGTCTCACCGCCGGTATGGTTGGACTCTTCATCGTTGTCCGCTCGAAACCCAACCCTTGGGTCATAACTTTGTCGTCGTTTTCTCTGCTGCTGGCGTGGGTAAGCTCGGATTTAATTTTTAGTTAATTTTCCTCTCGATTTTGCTTGATTATTGGTTGTGTTTGAGTTGTTTGAAGACTAAGTTGCACTCGGAGTACTCGGTCGACCGACCCGACCCCTTTTCGTCGTCTCACGCGCCGTCACACGCTGGCAGTGCGTGTGGGGCTCCTCTCCTGTCTTGGAACCTCCTAGAACCAGTTCAAGTCAAGTCAAACTGGTATGATTCAACTCGGACCGAACCGAGTCAACTAGAATTGACCTGAGTCAACCCGAACCGGTTTGACCCATTGACCTTGACCCAAATCGTTGACTTATCTGTTGACCTTTGACCAGATCCATTGACTTTAACTTTGACCTTTGACCAGTGTTGACTGTTAACTTTGACCCAAAGTCATATTTTATATTTTGCAATGTCCCGAGTCCAAACCCAAAGTCCATTTTACCAAATTCGAACCCGAAAGCCTCCGAATTGACCCGTTAAACTCGAATATGCATATTGAATTTAAGTATTCATTTAAGTGATTTAATTAAGTGCATCTAATTTAATTGAGGGTCAAGGACTAATTTATGTTATTGTATATTAAGGTACTCATGATTATCCTGACCGTTAGTCTACTTGACATGGTTCCTCCTGATTCGCCCGTCTACGAGAGCTTGTGATTACTCGTATAGTTCTATAACCCAATTAAATACTCAGTTTAGTGTACTACTCTGATAATAATTTTGTTTTGATATGACTTAGGTTCTCGTACAGTCGAAGAGCGTAGTGAAGTTGGTATTCGATAGATCTATTGGACTGTGTGTTCCTTGTGTGCCATATATCTATTTTAAACATCTGTTTGAAATATCATATGCACATGATTATTTTCTCTAATTTGAAATGAATGTTTTGCTCTGATTTGACTATCGTATGATTTATCTGATTTAAGTATAATTCCCGATTTATTGTATTTTAAATCATGCTTGCTTGACACATGTTCTCTGGTTATTGTTTTTACTGATAAATAAATATAAGTCTGAACTTTGATTTCCTGCTACCACTAATTATTGTCTGAAAAATGTTTTACTCAGACATTTATAGTTTTATATATTACTTGAATTAGAACTTACTATTAATAACTATGTTTTTAAAAGGTGTTTATTCATAATATTGATTTAAATTATTGGAAAATGTTTTAGAAAATTTTATCGTAATTTGCTAGATCTGGTTGTAACGCATAGGCCGAGTCTAGGGGGTTACAGGTAAGCAGCTTGATATCGTTTAAGCAAGGTCTCAGGTTCTTCGAGTCCTTGTCTATGCGAAAAATCCCCTATGAGAGACTCACCCACTAAAGTTAGATGTGCGATCCGGATTAATTTATATTTATTTGGACGAAGTATTAGAACTAAAAGAAAAAAAACGCATGAAAGATAATTTGTATGCAATATATATTTAATGGACAATTTTTTTCATATGTACATATTTTTATGTAAAAGATTTTTTTATTCATAAAATCTAATATAAATTATTTTATCTAAACCGATTTAAATTAATATTTCATGTTACTCGTATATGACTATACCTAAAAAGAAAGGCATCAATCGAGCAAAGAGAATTAAACTAATTTCTTTCACGAATGTTTCGAATTGGAGTATAAAGCCCTCGTAAATTACCCAAACTGTTAAGAACCTTTTACGTTCTTATAATATTTTATGCTTAATTTAATGTTCCTTTCTAATATTCTAAATTAGAGTAATTGGGCTCATGGAGGTGTTTTGGGTACGGTCGAATCTCTTGGAATTTTTAATTTTTTTATATTTTATATTTTATTTATTTTTATTAATTATTTAATTTCTCATCCTTAAAATTGTATAACTTCACATTCCTTAAATTTTTTTAATATAACTTCTTAAATTTACATTCTTTTACGCGTCCATCCATAGTTGGGGTGGACCGTCTAATATCAAAATTTTTTATTTTGAAGAAAAATAAATAAATTATAACTCAAACGTTTATATCAATGCTTCAACTTCAAGCAAATATTAAAATTGCTCGAAGATAAAATTAAATATTCAATATTTTTTTAATTCAAACAAACATGCTTAGTTGAATACACACATTAGGGAGAAAAAGAACATGATTGTAGCCTCATGGTGGGGGCGGTGTCTACCGTGAAGAGAGGAAGTGGCCGAAAGGTCAAAGATAGTGGCGTAGGGGAGGCATCCCGATTAAGGAGGTTTCACTAAACGCTCACATCCTAATATTTATGATTTATGATAAATTCATAATATCAAAAAATAATAATAAAAAATAATAATAATTATTTTATTATTAAAATCGTTTAGTTCGTACAATATTTTTTTATCATTGAAGTGGCTCACCGGGTTCGCTCTTCTAGACAGCTAATATATATATAGAGGCTTGGGACAGTCTTTGAGTTGTATCACCCCAAAGATTTAAGGCAACACCATACATATATAGGTCAGCTATGGGTATCAAGAGCCGGCATTGCTGCACCAGCTCCATCTTTCTGTTGTTACCATTACTCCTACAGCTTTATTCTGGTACTTACTGCTGCATTTCATTTCTATGTGCACATCTAATCCCGCAAAATTTTAATTCCATGCTATGAAAAATAACTTCCTTTGCAGCCGAAAGTGATCTCCAGTTGAACTACTATGCTCAAAGTTGCCCAAATGCTGAAGAGATCATCAAGCAGCAAGTGATCAAGCTCTACAACAAGCATGGAAACACAGCTGTTTCCTGGGTTCGAAATCTCTTCCACGACTGCATTGTTAAGGTATACAAGTACCATTTTCTGGGTCAAATATCGGTTCGAATATACGTCGGACATGGATACTTTAACGAAAATGTTTTGTTGGTGCAGTCATGCGATGCGTCGCTGCTGTTGGAGACGGTGAACGGCGTCGAGTCGGAACAAAAATCGGATAGGAGTTTTGGGATGAGAAATTTCAAGTACGTCAAGACAATCAAAGAAGCTCTTGAAGCAGAATGTCCGATGACAGTTTCCTGCGCTGATATCGTCTCTCTTTCTGCTAGAGATGGCATTGTCTTGGTATATATATATTATATATATATATGTTCACTAAACAAAATTCATTTATTTTCGTAAAATGTTTAAATTTTAAGCCTTGTGTACGCCCATGTTACAAACAACAGCTTGGAGGACCACGCATTGAAATGAAAACCGGTCGGAAAGATAGCAAGGAAAGTTACTTTTCGGAGGTCGAAAACAGCATCCCCAACCACAACGATTCGATACAGTCGGTGCTTTCTCGATTTCGATCAATCGGAATCGACACCGAAGGAACGGTAGCTTTACTAGGAGCTCACTCCGTCGGTCGAGTTCATTGTGTCAACTTAGTACACAGACTCTACCCCAATGTCGATCCTACATTGGACCCCGATTACGCCGAGTACCTTAAAGGGAGGTGTTTGTCGCCCAACCCCGATCCAGAGTCGGTGTTGTACTCGAGAAACGACCGGGAGACGCCGATGATTATCGACAATATGTACTACAAGAACTTGTTGAAGCACAAGGGATTGCTTATGATCGACCAGCAGCTGACATCTGATCCGACAACTTCAACTTTTGTGGAGAAAATGGCAGCTGATAATGGATATTTCCATGATCAGTTTGCCAGAGCTGTGATGTTGTTGTCGGAGAATGATCCACTTACGGGAGATGCAGGCGAGATCAGAAAGGATTGTCGTTATGTGAACAGTGCTTAATATTGCAATGTTAAAAAATAAACTGGGAATACAACATGCTTGCTTCTACTTGCAAGTTAATTATGTTTGCATGTGAACTAATAAACTTTTGTGTCAACTGTAATCAACTATGTGCTAATGGCCAGTTATTTATCTTCATACCCTTATTCAAGAACCGAATATCAGATAATTGAAATCTTATATATGTAACTAATAATAATAATAATAACACCAACGATTAGGTTGTCTAGTTGAGATGAGGTACTAAGTAAGGTTAGAGATTTGAATCTGACCATTACGAATTGAGTAAATTGGGTTGAGAGGGTTGTTCTTGCCTCTGCAGTACCCAATTCGGATTATTCGATCAATATATTGGATACCGGTAGTTATACCAAAATAATAATAACAATAAGGGTAAAGAATAGTAATGGTCGCTGAACTTTTCTGAAGCTTTCATTTAGGTCCCAACTTTTAAAACTTGTAATATAGTCCCCCAACATTTAATCCATTTGCAATATGTTCTCCCAACATTTAGTTCGTTTGCAAATATGGTCCCAACATAACTGTTGGGGGACCATATTGCAAACGAACTAAATTTTGGGGGACTGTATTGTAAGTTTTAAAAGTTGGGGACCTAAATGAAAGCTTTAGAAAAGTTCAGTGACCATTACTATAATTTACCCTTTATTTTATAATATATCATATTCAAGTATTAATTAATCTTATATTTTATAAATATAATTAGAGTATTATATAATTTATTGTTAGATTATTCAAATTTTAATCAATAATTAAATTAAATTCTATTATAATTCGAATGATTAAAAAAAATTTGGTGATTAACTTTATTACGTAAGAATTCAATAATTTTACCCAAACAACATCCTTATCCTTGTTCTTAGAGGGCGACCACAATAGCCCGGCGTGGTGGAATGTCCACTCAAGAAGGTGTCAGTTAAGGCTGTAAAATCAGGTAATCAGTCAGGTTTAAGTCGGATCCTGGCAGGTCAGGTAAAATCGGGTACAGGTCAAATCAGGTTAATTTGATGGTTTGACTCGGATCAGGTCGGGTACAAGTCAAATCAGTTCGGGTTATTTTCAGGTTGATTAACACCAGATCCATATCAGGTTCAAGTCGGGTCATTTTCAGTTCGGATCGATGTCAGTTCAGGTCCGAAGTAGATAAAGACCAGGTTAATTTCGGTTCAAGTGGACTTCAGTCAGATCTCGTTCAGATTGGGTCACATCATTGATAGATAAAATTCAGATCGGATGTTTACCAAATACGGATTGAGTTTAGGTCATGTCATTTTTAATTTTGGATTAATTATTTTGTCATCATTCGTGATTGTTAAATTCCAAGTTGTAATTGTATATGATTTCGAGTAAACTACAAAAAAAATAATCATGGATCAATTTTGTAAAAAAATATATATTTAAGGATAAAATTGAAGAAATATAAAATTACAAATAAAATTTTAAATAAATTAAGGGTAAAATATAGTAATGGTCACTGAATTTTTCTAAAGCTTTCATTTAAATCCCCCAACTTTTAAAACTTACAATACTCCTCAATATTTAGTCCTTTTGCAATATGGTCCCCTAACATTTAGTATGGTTGCAATATGATCCCAATATAACTGTTGGGGAACCATATTGCAAACGGACTAAATGTTAGGAGACTTAACTTGTTGAATTCACACTCATATTCATATACAGTGCGGTCCAATTGCTTTAGATTTAATTCTCTAATGGGTCCATTTTCAATTAAAATATCTCTAATTTTAGTGTAAAAACACCCCCTTCTCGTAGCTTGCTATCGTTGACTTCTGTGTATCATTCTCTTTAAGTTCCCTCTTTTTAAATTTAGTCGGGACAAACGTTTCTATCTATATGCAGAGTTTACAATTTGATCATTAACCTGGTATTGAGGATGTTACAAATCGCCTCCGTATTAGACCTTCCTGGCATAAAGTCAAATTGGTTTTCCGAAACCCTAGTATTGCAAGTTTTAAAAATTGGAGACCTAAATGAAAACTTTAAAAAAGTTCAATGACCATTACTAACTTTACCCTAACAATAATAATAAATCTAAAAATTGACAGACACGATATGGACCCAATCCAATATTGATCAAATGCTTGATTCTTGACTCAACCAAACTTACCATATACCTAAATTAAATCTGAACCAGATTAGATTCAACCCTTAATAAAACCTGAACCAATTGTAATCTAAACCCAAATTGATTGCCACTTAGATAAATAATCGCTATTAGAAACAATCCATTAGGAGAGAAAAACTTATATAAAATATACCATTTACTTGAAAATATATATAAATATTTTGAGTTTTCAATATAATAATGAGTTTTCTTGGATTTTGCCCATTTTTCTTCACGGATCTATTCACACGAACCAAGTGACCTTTATAGTAAAAGAAATGGTTAAAAGCCCTTATTTGTAATAATCTTTCCAATCCCATCTTGCCTTTTCTGCTGCTTGTGAATCATCAACAATTACCAACGGATTGTGACATCCAAATGCAGCTGAGTTTCAACTCTTCTGTCCCATCTCAAAATTCAAAGTGCACCCTCTCTAATATCACTTCTTTTTTAATGATTTCAGGACACACTCAAACAAGTCCGCCGAAGAACAAGTTGATGAAGAGAGCAAGCGGAATCGGCATCATAACGACCGCCTTATTCTATTTCCTTTGTGGCATTATCAGATATGCAGAGCATTCGGAAACGATGCTCCGGGGAATTCCAACCCTTTTGGTTGATCAATTTTGCCAATGTCTGCATTGTCATCCATCTCATTGGTGTATACCAGGTTTTTGCCGAACCATTATCTAATAGGTATAATGATATTCACTAATAGGTATAATCAAAATGCCCAGTATTTACTTATTTCTACTGTATGTATAGCTAACAATTACCTCAGCTACGTGGGCATCAGAACTCGATGAAACCAGCGACAATGCTTGACGATGACCAATAAATGTTACTAAAATGTGAAACGAATTCATAGAGAATGTATGTCAGTCAAATTGTTTCCTTACTAGACTGTAGTACAAATTGATACCAACTACAATTTCTCATGTGAGATTGAAAAGGAATGTCAATCCCTAGATAACTTCAAACAAGTTTCAGCATACTCACAGAACTGTTTCGTCACAATCCCAACAACGTGCAATCGTCTTGAGATGACGTGATGAGTTCTAGTAGAAGAAAAAGGACCGGACATCAAACCAATTCCTTCAAAAACCTAGAAAGAATGATTAGGGGGGAAAAAAGTAAACTTGAACTAAATGATCAAAGTAGAGTTGTACCAACCATCAAATGTTACTAGTTTTCAATGGCAAAATAAAAGAAGTTACCTTATAAATTATTAAATAGTTCAAGCAGATTCGGTCTCACTCATCACAAATGCTTGTATCAAAGACTGCGCCGCATGTGTTTGTTCTGGTGTTCCAGATATTGTAATTGCAGTTTCAGTTGCAGCAGGATTGGGTTCGGTAACTGTAATTTTTGCATCAGAAATCTGCAACATTTTTTAGTAAAAATAAGCTCCCTTGGACGCATGATGTATAAAAAACAAAGTACCAGATTCATTGGCATACCTGACGTATCTGTTTTAAACACGCACCATCTTCTCCATAAATTACAGGAACAAGGGAACGAGGAACAACAACTTCGATGGTGGTGCTTGTTATAATAGCTGGTTGGTTTCCTCTACATATCCACACATTTAAGAGAACAAACCAACTGAGATGTTGCCAATGCCATCAGAGGGAAACCTGTAAACTAGTACATTTGAACAGCCAAGTTTGAATTCATTTACCCTCCAAAGCCGGAAATTCTTCGGTGGGGAGGTCCTGAAAATTCTGGCATGCCCATATATCCCTACGAACAAAAACAGAAAGCGCATAATATATTCACGTCAGAAATAAAACTATTCCCATATTTACTCTTCTCTATCAGCCTTACAATTTGTCTCCCATTTCAAATAAACAGATACAAAGAAGTAAACCACAACTACATGCAGCGAAATCTCATAGCAACTTGAAAACTAAAGAGAGGCACATTTTGCCTAGCTACATAGCATGTAAAGGAAAACGTTGCCTCATTATTCAACACTATCACTCTAATACCTGAGGGCCCCATGGTTTTCTTTCAGATATATGAGGAGGCATGCCTGGTCGGTGAATATTGCGCATAAAAGGAGGATCATGGGCGTGAAAACCACCGTGCGGGGGTGGGCCACCAAAACCATCAAAATGGTGAAAAGGACCTAATCCCGGAGTTGAAAATTCTCTCCTTCCCGCAAATGAAGGGAATGGGGTTCCTTGATCCATTAAAACAGAATTTGAAGGATTGTTAATAGAGGGAAACATATCCCGGAATAAATGATGTCGCAACCTAGATGTTATTTGCAAAATAGCATCTCGAACAGCATCATGGTCTCCATTAATCTGCAATGAGTCTGACACGATAAAGAATCAAAGAAAGCAAGAATAACACAAAATTTTCCAAACTTATAAATCCTAAGAGAAACACAGAAGCAAACCTGAACAATTTCTTCGCCTTCTGAAGCACAAATTGGAACCTGATCCTTTCCCAATATACGAATATGAGCCCCGGATGACTTCCTCATTTCAGCTATGATGGAACCACCCTTGCCAAGAAGACAACCAATTTGATTTGACGATACAAGTAACCTGACCATCATAGTCTTGTCCTTGCTATCAGGTATAGCCCTATATAGCCTGCCAAGTACACGAAGAACTGCATCTTGTGCAGGCGATATCCTATCATCTGGGTGCTGAATTTATTAATTTATCATCAGTCTCAAAAAACCACAAAACTTAAACAATCAAACAATAGAAGATCAAAATTTCAAAATCCATTTATGTTTAAACAAATCCAGAGAGCAAATCATACCGCTGGACTAGAGATGATAACTATGCGGTCCTCACAATCAGGAATAGCTTCCACAACTTTGATATCACAGCCTGTCTCTTGCTTAAGAGTCTTAATTATTGATCCACCCTTTCCAATGACAGCACCAACTTTGTCATTAAGACAAAGTAACCGGAATGTTAGCATTTCCAGAGAAGGCATCATTCTGTCACGAATACGAGGGGGAAGTGGTGACTGAAGCTCAACATCCCAAGGTCCTGCAGCAAACGGTGCTCCTTGAGAACTTAAAGAATGGTTTGGTGGTGGGTGGACTTCAGGCCTAGGACCAAAAGACTGAGATGCCTGTCCAGTTGTGTTGAGAGGAAAAGAATCGTGATCCTGAGGTGGATTTTCTATTAGCTGTTGAGAAACAGATTGAAGTGCTTTCCTAACTGCATCAAACTCCCCTGTAATCTGCAGCAAAACCACAAAGCATAAAGTCCAAATAAAAGTCCAGAACGCATTACAAATAATACCTAATTTGCATATTTAATCATATCATAAACTGTTACAGTAGAAACAGCATTATAACAAAGTTTAAATCGCAAATGATTCTTCACAAAACAAAACAGAAAATTAAACCACTCACTCATTAAACTGACACAAGTTTTTTCTTTTTCTTGTTGCTGTTATTTGCAGAATGATATTGCTTAAAAACATCAGATACATAGTGCTAACCAGCTAACTCATTCTCCCCTTTCTTTTTCCCTCAAGTTTTGTTTTGAAAAAGAATCTCTCTTACAAACATCCATGGTTTTTCATAAATCTTATGTCATGAAAATACCCCAGGTTTATTTTCTTCAGGTTTTTTTCTGTACAAATCATGTTTTGCTGTGTGCCACATTTGTTATTAATGAGGGTAATATAAAATAGAACCTAAGGTACCTGAACTAGTTCATCAGAAGCTGAAGCACAAGCGGGAAGTTTGTCTCTAGGAAGAATTCGAATCTGAGCCCCACTTTCGGCAGACATTTGCTTAATTATACTGCCACCTTTACCAAAAAGGCAGCCAACATGACTGGAAAGAACAAGCAATCTTAAAACCATCATGAAAGGCTTAACAGTTTCCTCGTCAACTCCTTCTGAGCCTCGCTCTGCTTCAATCATTCTTTCAAAAACAAGTAACAATGCCTTCTGCAAACAGAAAGTTTCATTTACAGATTGTGAACCTTTCACAGAATCAACAACCTTTTCATTGATGTTTTCATCGTTTTCCTTTTCTTCATCATTCTGGTAGGATGCTTTAGCCTCGTTGATGATATCCTCCTTTCCTTGGGTTCTACCAGCTTCAGTCTCTTTATCATAAGATTCAGAAACTGTGATGGAAATCACTATCTCATCACAACCTGGGACTGCCTCCTCAATTTTGACATTCACACCAGTTCCTTGAAGAATTTGTGATACTGAGCTGTCACCTTCGCCAATGACGCTGACAGATTTAGCTTCCGGACATAGTACACGAAAAACAACACCACCAGGTGAAACTTTAGGTTGGCCTGACTTTTGCAACTTTCTTTTCCCATTTGTCTCTGAAGGGCTCCTACCGTGTAGTCTCTTAGAAGGCGTCAACGGAGCAGACATGGTTGAGGGATTAATTCAAACAACTGTTTCATTCAAATTCAAATAAGAATTCCATAAACCAAAATTAAAACTTACAAAAAAAAACATGACCAAGTTATAAAATCATCCATGTCTAGTATATTACAGATTCACCAATGCTTCAAGTTGGGTCCCCAAGGGCATTAACAAGAGGTAAAAAGGGAAAAAGAACTTAACGGAAAAGGCCGCAGGTCTGTTTCCTTTTCCCCATCACTTGACTAACTGGTAATAACATAACCTACTTCCAACAATTAGACCCCTCACAGTTACCCATTTTCTTAAAACTTACTACATTACATGTAAATTAGTGTGAATCTCCAGCACCTTACCTCAATCGTAAAGAAAGATCCATAGTTTTGTAATCCATGAATTACTCCTATTTTCACACTTCTTTAAAGCTCTACATTTTAGGGGGAAATAGTTAACTCCAGTAAAGTTGGGAAGCTTTATATAACCAGGAATTCAAGCTCTGGGAACACTTCCAAAAAATTCAAAACTTAAAATCCATGCATCTCTCATTCAAAGTATAGAACAAAGAAACAAGCTTTAACAGTTGATTCATAAAAACAACAAACACAACAAAGAAAAGAAAAGAAACGATGCATTAACTACTAAGTGAATGAAGAGCGAAAAGAACTCGCCGTTTGATCGAGAATTTGAAGAAGCAAAAACCCAAAAAGAAAAAACAATTTACTGAGAGCTTCGAGGACAACTAGGATTGGACATAAAAGAGATTGAAGCATTCAGCTTCTTGAATCTTCGGACTAGGTTTCAAATGTAATGTTTCATGAACCGTGGGGGTTATACCGGGATCATGGGCCTTTCAAGTTTTTATGAAAGTATGAGAGATGCCCATTCAGCACAGCTCGCCCCAGCCCATAACTATGGATCATATATAAAGGGGTAAAATTGGCCCACTAGGCCAGACGAGTAAAAATTGGTCCATTAGGCCATCTCAAAAATTAATTTGGGATCTACGGTAAATGTTACAATGTCGTGGAAATTCGTCACACCCACATGACGAGTTTGCCTAATTTTTTTAATCATACTTCCAAAAAATATATAATTTTTTTGTTAGAATTTTTTACATCGATGTGATAAATTCCAATAGAAAAATATATTTTATTGAAACTCATCATACTCATGTGACGAGTTCTATGCACTATAATAAAGGTTGTATATTCCAAATCAATTTTAGAGTTGACCTAATAATATTTCTTTTTACTCGCCAAACCTATTGGACCCATTTTACCTATAAAAGGGTTTGTTTAAATGTCGATTTACTTACCCACTCAATAAAACCGACCAATATAAATCGGGTTTTGGGAAAATGTAGTGAAAAATATTATAAAAATAACAATCATTTATTTAACCATTAAAATTATTTAATTTATACCAATGGAAAACCCTAATTCTATCATTATCGTCGACTCATTTAACGCCACAAAATTCTCACATGTGACTAAAATATAAAATTTGAAAGTTTGGTGGCTAAAGTAAAAATTTTATAAAAGTTCAAGGACCAAAATGATAATTTTCCCAAAAAAAATATTTCATATATAAATAGTTCATATGTACAAATGGATTCTTTATAGAATTCAGATTTTGATCTGGAAATTGTGTGAAGAGCTATTAAACAATAAATTTCGATAAAATATTCGAATAGTCAGAACGAATCGAAGTTTACAAAAATTCAAAGGATGATAGTATGAGGTTATTATATTTATATTTTTAATTAGTAGAATTTAGCACGGATTGGTAGATTTAAGTGGATTTTCCATGTTACACCCTAAAATAGGGTCTAAAATTCTCTTAAAAATTTCACGAGGACTAAATTGAATTTTAATTAAATTCGAGGACCAAAGTGAAATTTTAATTAAATTTTGGATCCAATTTCATAAAGCAACCAAATATGGAGGACCTATGGCATGATTTTTTCTATTTTCTTTTTTTTATATAACCCAAGATGAGGAAAAAATTAATTTTTTCTCTCTCCAAAATTTTTCTCTTTTAGAAATAAATCTTTAACCGTCGTTTCGTCGCTGATCGTTGATCCGTTTTTTACACTTCTCCCACCATCGTGTTCCTTGCGTCATCCTGAGTCCAGTGGTGTCCTTCTTATCTCTGTTGTCGTTAGCGTGTGAAGGGTGAGGAATATCAAGTTTCCGACGTTTCCAAATCAAGCTCTTCGTCGTTTACTGTTGTGAACCGAACTTGGTAAGTGTCTCAAAACCCCTTAAAACGCGCTTAGTAATTTTTTAGAATTTTTCCGACCCTATAAAGCCCCGCACGCACCACCCCTGTGCGTGGGAAAAGTCCACCGCCTGGTGGACTGCTTGGAAATGGGCCGATCTGACTCGATACACCGACCCGCCTGCCCATAGGGGTGTTCATTTTTCAGTTTTAACATAATTAACCGACCGAACCTAATTAGTTCGGTTAATTCAGTCGGCCACCGAATTAGTTCGGTCGGGGAACGGTTAATAATTTTTTTAGAATTCGGTTAACGGTTAATTAACTGAATCAACCGAAATTAAATTTTAAATATTAAATATATGATATATAACATATAAGCTCAGCACAAACTATTTAAAATCCAATTAATAATTTATGATCCAATAACTTTTAAATCTAAATCAATATTAATTATTTAAAAAATCCATATAAAATTTTTATTTCATAATTATATATTATTTAAATTAATTGTAAATTATTTTCTTGAATTAAAAAATATTTAACTTTTATATAATTTAGAAAATTTTTAAAAAAACAGTTAACTCGAAAATTAATCGAATTAACCGAAATTTATTCGGTTCGGTTAATATTTTCAAAAAAAAAAGTTTGGTTCGGTTCGGTTAACTATTAAAGAAAAAAAGTTCGATTAATTCGGTTAATAGTAATTCGGTTTGGTCGGCCACCGTTTTAACCGAATGAACTCTGCCCTAATCTGGCCCGATCCAACATGAACTGTTGACTTTGACCCGAAAAGTCATATTTTATGTTTTTCAACGTCCTGAGTCCGATTTCGAAGTCCGTTTTACCAAATTCTGACCGAAATCCCTAAATCGAGCTTGTTAACCCAAAAATACTTAGTATTTTTAGCATTTTTACTTATTTATTTGAGATTCGGTTATGAAATTGATCCAATAAGATATTTGTATAAATTTACTCGTGTTTCACCTGATTGAGGGTTGATTAGATCCGGTGTTTTCCGTCCGTCAGATCCGCTCGATCCACGTTCTACGAGAGTTACCATAGATTTTCGTAAATTATTTAAATAAAGATTAATATTATTCATATTGGGGTTCCGATATAGATTTTTCGATTCAGGTGTGTTTCATGTTGGTGTTACATTACTGTTTTCAACTATCTGTATGAACTGTTTGAGATTTCTGATAATATTGAATATTTTTAAGACACAATGCTTAATTTTCTGAACACGATTTATCTGATATCTGATTTACTGTATATTTCTGATATGATCTCTGGATTACCGTATTTTCGTATCTGATTTCTGAAAGTGGAATATTTTCATGTTTTAATGGATTAAACTATTGTTTTCATTCAAATATATACATGTTGTTTTTGTCATTGGGGGTTTTATTAGAGGAAGTATCTCCGGCCTAGTCTATGACTTATAAGACTTTGCCGCTTTCTGCAGGCACCTTAATTTTGTGCTCAGGGTATGTCCTTACTGCAGGCTCATCGGCTTTGTGTTCAGGATAAGTCCTTATTTATAACAGACCTACGTACAGTGTAATTCTAGAATAATCTATAACAACCTGACAACACACCATTTAGGGCTAATGCAGCTGTCATAGCTACAACATGTTGGAACGGAGTCGGAGAATTCAAAACGAGAATATAGCAGCCGCACAATTGGTGAGAAGGGGAGGCGATAACATGGAATACCAGAAACACGATCCTTTAAGGTGGACACCACCAGCTGAAAGGTGGGTTAAGATTAACACAGACGGAGCAAGATCAAAGATAGAAGGCATAGCTTCATGCGGGGGAATTATAAGAAGCAGCTCCGAAGCGTGGATTGTGGGATTCGCGAAATACATAGGCATTTGTTCCGTCATTGAGGCAGAGTTATGGGGGGGTCCTCATAGGCCTCCAACAAGCATGGAAACTGGGAGAGAGGAGTATCGTCTTGGAAGTCGACAATTATGAAGTGACTCGGCTGCTACAAAACAGACCAAACCGCGAACACTCATTCATGTTGTTAAATGTAATCGATGAACTAACTGGTAAGGAAGGAATGGATCGTGGAGATAAGACACATCCCCAGGGAAAACAACTTGATTGCAGATAGATTGGCAAAGCTCGCACAAGTGGAAACAATGAATTGCTCGGTACTCTTGAATCCTCCGAGGGAGATTCTACCATTAGTACAGCTAGAATGTCATGACTTAGGTCCAGATTAGATTTATTTTGTTTCACGCTTTTGTTCACCAAAAAAATATATATATATTTAATTTATGCCGGTCAAACTGTTAACTTCTAGTTTAAGAGGGAACTATATAGTTCAACAATAAATATAGGGTAAACTATGAAAATAGTCACTGAAATATTAATAAGTTTTTACTTTTTAGCATGTAAGATTTAAATTAACATTATCGTTTTATAAACGAATTAATCACTCAACTTGTAATAATTGTTAGTTCCAAGGTTTCAAATAGTGGGACGCAAACACAATAACGGCCCACAATTTAATGGTGAGTAACGGATTCACGTCAATAACGGTCCGTAGTGCCCGTAATTTAACGGGTAATGGTGTATAGCGTCGATAACGGCTCGTTATCACAATTATCCTATTGTTACCAACCAAAGATTAAATGGGAAGAGGACAAGACAACAAACCAAACCCTCTGTTTTGAGTGGAAATCTTGCATCTGTTGAGGTTCGTCGCCGATGAAGAAGTTGAGCAGCAGCAAGCTTCCATTTGAGAAGGTAACCCTCTAGTTTTGTAAAAGAAGAGAAATTGACTTATCCTGATTTGAAAAAAAAATTATATTTTATGTTTTGGGCCGTCCACAGTTCACTCCCACCTTAGTTACACTTTTTTAAATATGTTTTTAAAGGTAGGTTAATTTTAATTTCAACCATCCCTCCAACCTTTTAGATTTTTTAATTTAATCTTTAATTTAGAGCATAAACTTTCATTTTCATTTAATTTAATCCTAATTTTAATAATTTAGATTTTACACTTAGAAAATATTCTAAAAATTATTAAAAACGATTCTTTATAATTATAATTATTATGTTTTAGGATAAGTTGTGCGAAATTTTAAAAAAATCACGATTGCGTTCCTCACAGTGACCGCGATGGCATCCGTTATGTTTGCAACCTTGATAAACGCAATGCGACTAAAAACGCAGCCGCAAACACTATTTAAATCTCTGATTGTTATTGCAATCATAGAAGTAGATGTAACACGTTTAAGCATTTTGTATAAATTAACACCATTCTTAAGTTTACGTAGTAACTTCTCTCCCAATTCTTACTACAAAAAAGCTTTTGTAAACGAGTAAAAATATTCATCATAACCCTACATATACAAAGCAAACGGTAGTAAAAGTTAATGACAAGCTAAATGAAAGCAGAAAAGATAAAATACAAAAACTAAGAATACATTTACAGAAAATGGCTTGAAAAAAGAAATTTAAATTCACCTTGATTATAAGTTCATCATGAGGATGCAAAGTTTATGCCTGATAAGGGTGAAAATGATAGCTTCCGAGCTTGCGTGGAGGCACACTCCTTGGCTCGGTGCACATGCAGGTAAAGGGAATGTTAGGCCCCTTGGCCGTGTACTTGAGGTAATTAGTTCTGTCCTTGTTCGTTCACTCTTCTTTCCGCTTCATGTGAAATCATTTAGATGGATTTTGAAAATCTGATCTTGTTGCAGGGACTTGATCCGAGAGCAGCAGCGAGCATGTTTTATCCTCGAGCTTTCGTCGGATCCTGCAACGAGATCATAAGACATGTTAATACAACACAATGGTCTTCCATATTTTCTCCAGATGATGTCTTGTTTTATGCCATGGTGCCAAAGCAGGGGGAATTTTATGTGTCATTGAGCGACCCTGGTGAAATTTGGTCCACAATGGCAGTGCTAAAAGCTTGGCTTTGCAAGTTCCGTCGCATTTCTAAAATAACATAAGTATAAATATTGCAAGTTGACGGAAAACTGAAACTTCTTATGCTTGTTTTTATTAGTTGAAATTATTCAGTTGCAACAACTAGGAATCATCTCCGCCGATCAGTTCAGATGTTACAAAGAAGCTTAAGCAAGGCAGGGCGTGGCCTGCATTTTCCTTCCAAGGGTCGAGCTTTGGGCATGGTGAACCCTGTTCCGGCACTCATGTCGACCAACTCGTTTCCGATCCTCGACAACTCGAAGCACTGAATCAACGAACCTAAAGTCAGTCCGACTATTCTGAGTCCCAGGCCCTCTCCGGGACATCCCCTCCGTCCTGCCCCGAACGGCATCGACTTAAACCCGTCTCTTGCACCCTCTAGTCCTTCAAACCTCTCCGGCTTGAACCTTGCAGACTCCTCCCAAATCCTGGGATCATTCTGTATAGCCCATATATTGACCAACAGCATGGTGCCACTCGGAACTCGGAAACCCTGGACCCTGCACTCCTCTGATGATTCATGAGGCACCAGCATTGGAACCGGTGGGTACATTCTCAAAGTTTCACTTATGATGCACCGGAGGTAAGGGAGTTGAGGCAGGTCGGACTCCTCGATCAAACGCTCATTTCCCACCGTGTTCAAAATCTCAGTTCGAGCCTTTGTAAGCACTTCAGGGTGGTTCAGCAAAAGCGAAAGCGCCCACTCCATGGTACTAATCGAAGTTTCGGTTCCTGCCATCAATAAAATCTGTGCCGAAAACGTTAGATCGTTGTATTATGAATGAATCGAAGAAGATATAACATAATATCTTACAATCATCAGGCCTTTAATGATCTCATCGGTGTAGAACTCAGGTTCTGATTCTTGTAATGACAGCAAAATCTCAATCATGGTCTTCTTCCTCTCTCCATTGGGATCACTCCTCATTTTTCTTCTGTGCTGCTCTACAAGATCTTGCATAAACCTGTCCCTCTTTTTACCACACTCCACCATTCTACTCTCCAGCTTCCTGGACTTAAGCCAAGGCAAGAAATCACCATAATTCGTCGCAGAACTCAACTCGAGAGCCTCAATTTGAATCTCTCGAAACCTTGCAGCTTCCTCCATGATCTCCTCGTTTTCGCAACCGTAATACTTTTTCCCTGCTATCAGCCCCATCATTACATTGTATGTTAACTCGAAGAATGCTGTCTTGAACTCAACAGGTTCATCTCGATGGCACAACAGCTTCCTCATCAATGACTTCACCTCGTCCATGCGTATGCTCGACAGCAATTGTAGGCGGCTCGTCGACAAAAGCTCGATCGATGAAATTCTCCTAAGGTTTCGCCAAAGATCACCATAAGGAGCCCAAGAGAGACCAGTGTAGTCGTAAGCCAAGTGTTTCCCGATGAGCAAGCGAGGGCGGTTGGCGAAAACGATGTCGTTCTTGGCCAGACATTCTTCCGCGGCAGACGGCGACGAGACGACGACGACTGAACGTGAGCCGAACTTGAAGAAGAGTACGGGGCCGTACCGATTTGCGATGCCGAGTAGAGTTTTGTGGAGAGGCTTCTCAAGGAGGTGGAGGTGGCCGATGATGGGAAGACATGGGAATGGACTTGGAGGAAGGTTATTGATTTTGTTTAGAAAGTGCTTTGTGAAAACATATAGGACCAGGAATATTGGTATGTAGAGATACCAGGTAGCCATGGTAGTTTTATCAAGGGTGAAAAGAATTTAAAGAAGAAGAATAAGATGGGTGAAAGGGGAAAAAAAGGAAATGTATTAAATTTGGCTTTCATATTTGGTAAGAACATAGAAGGAAAATGGAAACCAATGATAAGTGGACAACAATGACAGCTAGAATTTCATTCTATTAAATCATATTTTCGTTATATATTTACATATTAGACACCATTTCATATATATTTCTTGATCTAATACTCTTTGCAGAAAGATGTGGCTCATCCACCGGATGTTAGTTTCGTAAATATTTTTAAAATGGTGACTAATACATAATTAATTTCTATTAGGGTGATTTTTGTGCAAAAACGTCAAATTTTTTATGTATTTTTTGTGTGTGCAAAAAAAAATTATGCATTAAAATCTTTAAATCTTCTTTTGCAAATTATTTTATAACTCGACAAATTTTGATTTTTGCATGAAAAATTTATTGACTTTTAAAATTAATTATTTTTTAACAACAGTTAATAATGTTTATTCATTTTTAATAAAATTAGAATTTAATATTTATTTTCTATTTTTAAAAATTAATATTATAAATAATATTTTAAATATATAGGTGATTTTTAGCTTTACCTTCTTTTTTTTATTGAATTTTATTCACTTTTAATTCTTTTTTATTGTATTTTTATTGAATTTTAAATATATGAGTTATAATTCAAAATAATCATTTATTCTACTATTATTCAAATTAATTAAGAAAAATTATGGTAAATGTTTCTAAAAGAAAAGTATAAATGCATACATGAAAATCTAAAGATTTTCCTTTCTTTTGTGTTACTATCTAAACTTGTAACAAAATTCAATAAAAAAAGAATGTAAAGCTAAAATATATCACTTATATATTTAAAATATTCTTCCTAATATTAAATTTAAAAAATATAAAATAAATATTAAATTCTAATTTTATTAAAAATGAATAAACATTATTAACTATTGTTAAAAATAATAATTAATGACTAATGATTCATTTAATATCTCAATTGTAATTAAAAGTTTATTTCAATATTTTTTATATTTTTAAACACTTAATTTTAAATGTCAATAATTTTTTTTAAAAATGTATGCAACTTATAATTTTTTAAATTATAAAATATTTCTTATCATCATCATCATCATTTTGTAAAAAAAAACACTAGTTATAAAATTTTTATAAAGTTATTCATATTTTAAATTACTTACCCTCAAAGTTTTCCCATACTAGATTATACGTATTGTATAATTTCATGAAAAAAATCAAATTTTTTTGAGTTATAAAATAATTTGCAAAAGAATATTTAAAGATTTTAATGCACAAAATTTTTTTTCACACACAAAAAATAAATAAAAAGTTGTATTTTTTACACAAAATCACCCTAACAAAAATTAATTATATATTAGGTATCATTTTAAAAAAATTTACGAAATTAGCAAACAGTCTTTACACATCGTGTCACATCAGCCTGCAAAAGATGTTAGGTTAAAAAATATATCTGAAAGGGTGTCTGACAGATAAATATATAATGAAAAAGGTAATTTTTGAGAAAAATCGTCAAGGGTGTTATTATTTTAAAAACCCTTAAAAATTCATTTATTGAAAAAGTAATCTAGAATAATATTAATTGAAAAAATGTCTTAAAATGTTTACGTAGAATGACATGTCGTTATGTTAAAAGTAATGTTAGACTTTACGTACTACTATAAAAAAACGAATTTTATACATTTATTATTGTTTTTTTCTAAAATATAAATCAATATATTTGAAAAGTTAATAAATCTAACGTTAAATCTATTGTCCAATAAAATATGAGGTCCGTTACACGTGTTGTGTAGAAAGTGAGGTTATCCTAAATAGTCAATTTTATTATTAATGTTTGGAGATTATTTTTTTAATAAATAAATTTTTTACGATTTTTTAAATAAAAACGTCACTTTTTAATAAGTAAAATATAGTTAACGCATTATGGAAAATATGTGGCACCTTTAGATGCCACGCGTAATATTACCGTTTTTAAATTTAAAGATTTTTTTTATATGAGATTAATATTTTACATTTCTTAAGATATGATATTCTTTTTTATTTAATTTCGTGACGTTCTTGCCATGAGTTATCGTCATAGTTATCCACCTTATTTATTTTATCTATTAGGGACCTTTTATGAGTAATTATTTTTAGAGATGAAAAAGATATTCGAATTTGATGGGTTTCGACCCACCCATCATATTGTGTTAGATTTTTCTAAAAAAAATTAGGTTTGAATTGGGTCAAGTTTTTGGAATATGAGTTCAGATTGGGTCGGGTTAGGTTTGAGTTTAAGGTCAACCTGAAAAATAATATAATTATCTTATAATTTAAAAATAATTACAATAATATTTTGTTATAAATTAATTTTTTTTCAATTATATCTCTATTTCATTAAATAAAAACAATATTAAACATATTTGTTTTAAACCGAGTTGAGTTCAGATTTTATCTTAAAAGGTAGATCGAGTTTCAGGTTAGTTGAAATCCTAAATTCAAGTCGGATCGAATTTTGAATGAATGGCTTATATTTTTTTAGATCGAGTCAGGTTGGTTTGAAATCTGACCCAATCCAACTCATACTACTTCCTAATTATTCTCTTCAAAAAAATATACTTAATAAAAGTATTTATATTGTTTTAAAAGTTTTATTTAAATTAAAATGGTTAAATATTCTTCAATTTCTTCGTAATTTTCAGAATAATTGTTACATATTAAATTTTATATATGTTAGTATATTCGAGTAATCACTTCAAATTCTTAATGATTTTTTGAATTTTAACTAAAAAGAACTTTTCATTATTTTATTAAAAATAATTCGAGTAAAAATTCTCATTTCTAAAAATAATTCTATATTTCCTAAACTAAATGCATCCTAAATGAATTGCAGACGTATATTGTTGCACTAAGGTTGATTCAATCTTGGGTAAATTACGTGTTTAATATCTAAATTTAAATTTTGATTCGTTTTAGTATCTAAACTTTTAATTTTATCAAAATCATATCTAAAATTTAATTTTATTTCATTTTAGTACCCATGTTCAAAATTTAACGTTAATTTTTGGGGGAAAAATTGAAAGTTTAATTACTAAAAAGGACCAAGGCTGATAATTTAAACTTTAAATTTTTATTAATGGGATAATAAAATGAAATAAAAATTAAATATTAGATATAATTTTTAAAAAATAAAAATTTAAATATTAAAACCTATCAAAATTAATAATTTAGATGATAGTACCTTTACAAGAAGACTGAAAATCCAGTAAGCTCAGCTGCAGTAGCGGAAATGTTGTGCTTCTCACACGCACAAAGAGACAAGGTTGGAAATTGTGAATTCTTTTTACAACTTCTTTCAGATTTTATCTTTTTAATTGTTTGAGAGTCCCACCAGCACATAACCAACCAATAAACAAATCCCTAAATTGGACACGATAGTCTAATTTAAGGTTAAAAAATGACATAAAATAAATATAATTGAAATTATTATAAAAAAGTATATTATTTTCGGTTGGACGCAACTCGTAATATCATTCGGCCAACAACAATTATCTTTTGATGTGACCAATAACATAACCTTGTGATGTGTTAGAAACAAATATACTATTTTATCTATCAATTTACGGATAGTTATTATGACTAGAGATTTGACATCAATACTAAATATCAATATGTACAAACCACCGTATATGATTGGATACGAGATTAAAGTGTTGTTTGTTTGGCTCTGAATGAAATCATTCAGTGTTGAATGCTGAACGGTTCAGTATTCAGCGTGTTTGTTTCTCACCTCTGAATGATTCAGTGCTAACTGATTCAGCAAAATAGTGTTGAGTGATTCAGCATCAAAGTACATTCTGAATGATTCAGAGTCATTATCAAACAACATGTCACATTAAGAGTTAATTCATACAGAGCCTCTGAATCATTTAGCATTTGAATCATTCATCGCTTATTCATTATGAAGTAAACAAACAGCCCCTAAATCTCTTTCTATTAACCCGTTGAAATTATTAACCACAATTTTCTACTCCAACCAAAAAGAGAACCACCTAAAGCAGTCTCAAGTCACAAGCAGCAAGTATATGAACTAAGAACAAGAAGTGGAAACCTCTTAAACAGAGGGAAAATTACTTTATAGATAAAACTTTGGTGTAATAAAACTGAGAAGGCACATTAAAAAAGACCTTGGCATGGCCCAAGAGGCTACAAAGATTAGTGGGCTCTTCCAAATTGTTAGAATCATTACGGCCACATTTGGCCCAATACCATAGGCGGCTTAATTATTCAGCCCAATATGACATCAGATTTTTATTTTGAAAACTACGACATTTGCTACAGTGACCTGAAACTCTTCACGTGGACATGCCGAGCTTCAATAAAATATTTTTTTTATTGAAATTTATCAATCTAACGTCACAAAATCTAATAAAAAAATTATATTTTTATTAGAACTCGACATTTCGACGTGATGAGTTTATCTTACATTGTAACATTCACCGTAAATCTCAAAATAATTTTAAAAACGATCTAACAGGTTAATTTTGTTTTCACCCGCATGGACTAGTGGGCAGAAAAACCATTGTATGGCCTACGTGGTTCAAAACCACAACACAAAATAGTATTGAAAGTACGCAAACTGCACACGTTAGTACTGAATTATTAATAATCTAAACCCTCTGGACCTGCTTTTCATGAATTTTCTTCTATATACAGCTTGTTTATATAGTAGCCGCATAATCCTTGAGACCTTCAAACATCTGTACTTATTCTGGTTTAATCTATGTCTGAATTCTTATATATATATATATATATAAAAGCTTTGATGGGCTGAGGCATGTTTAAGGGACCACCTTTTGCTTTTGGTTAGAGTCGACAATACCCTGGATTCTAACATTGAAGCCTGTGGTCCCTCAAGCATTGCATTTGCCATTATCATGACAGAGAAATGGAAGGATAGAAAGAGACTGG